GCAGCATCAGCAGCAGCATCAGCATCAGCAGCATCATCAGCCGCAGCAGCATCACTATCAGCAGCAGCATCAGGCAGCAGCAGCAGCAGCATCAGCAGCAGCATCAGCAGCATCAGCAGCAGCATCAGCAGCAGCATCAGCAGCAGCATCAGCAGCATCATCAGCAAGCCAGCATCAGCATCAGCAGCAGCAGATCATCAGCAGCAGCATCTCATCAGCAGCCGCACAGCAGCAGCATCAGCATCATCATCAGCAGCAGCATCAGCAGCCGCATCAGCAGCATCATCAGCCAGCAGCATCGCAGCAGCATCAGCAGATCATCAGCAGCAGCATCAGCATCACATCAGCAGCAGCATCAGCAGCAGCATCAGCAGCAGCATCAGCAGCAGCGCAGCAGCAGCACTCAGCAGCAGCCGCCACCCGCTATGGCTGGGGAGCCGGCGCTACCAACGATTGCGCAAGCGGTGTCCTAACGAGCGACACCACCAATAAGCAAGCAGCAGCCACCTGCGCCGCTATATCATCGTGGGAGAAAGCGAGCTGCTCAATTCAATTCCCGAAGAAGCGAAATTCCCGACGGAGCGAATACGTCGGACATCGTGTGGAACAACACGTGGTGGTCAACCCGGAAGTGCATGGGAGAGATGGAACTCACGACAACGCACGTTAAGCTTGCTTTTTTTTCTTCCAATGAATTCGTTCATTAATCAACTTAGTTATTTATTATACACTGGTCAACATACTTTTTCTGGCATAAGGTAATCCAACGGTTGTAAGGTAATTTTCGGGTGCTGATTCCAAATCTGCCATCAGTTTTTGTCTATCACATCCGGTTTTTGAGATATCAAATATTGCATTTTCAATAAAAACTGCAGAAGAAAAATATTAAATAAATGCGGATATCTACATAAAATGATATTATAAACACACTATCCTAAAAATACAGCACCATATTTTAACACTAAATCAGTCACTAACTCGCAACAACTGCAATCATAAGTGACAGAGTTAATTTCGGATGAAATCAATGAAAATGGGGTATGCCGATAGCATAAAAATGAGATGTGATAGAGCAAATCTGAGATCAGATTTGGAATCAGCACCCTGAAATAGTCAAAAACAGCTGCAAAAGTTCAGGCCAGAAAAAAATGTTTGTTGTTGACCAGTGTTAAATATAAATGTATTCATTCAAGGTGTCATTTGGAAGAACCAAAAATCGGGGACAATCTGCCCGGACCAATTCTGCGCGAAAGCGGGATACCTCTCATCACGACACCCGAAACTCGTTCGCTTCTCAGCAATAACTCTGAAAGTATCATCGTAAAAAAATATTATAATGAAGCAGCCAGAAACAATTATGTTTGATTTGACATCTGCTTTATGTCGTACGAAGTCACAATGAATGTTAATTGCACATTGTGTGCCGGTATCGCCGTGCGTGTGCCCGCCTGCATCTGTTGGGCCATCCCACCTGGCGAACGCCAGTATCTGTCGGCTCACACATTGCCGAGAAATGCAGTTGCAATAAATAAATCATTTTAGAACGGTCAGTGTAGCAAAAAAAAAATTGATATATAATACAACGGCCGCGCTACATTGTGTACGAACAAACGTGAAATCCTGTAGCTCATATTCCTCCCCCCCCCCCCCCCATGGATAATAAATCACCGTGCTGCCAAGGATCCGGCTTGCAAATTGGCTTTGCCTTAAGCAACAATTTGAGGCATAAGCAGTGGAAGGATGTAGGAGGGGAGGGCTGGTCCATGTAAACTCCCCCTTCCACCCCCCCCCGCATTCAATGATAAAATATGACAGATATAGATGCAGCGAGATGTTGCGAGATGTTGTCGTACGCGCAGACGCGCCTGGCCATAGCCACGTGGGAATTTCCACCACTGGATTTTACAACTGCTGCTTCGTTTTTTTTTGGGGGGGGGAGGGGGGCGGTGAAGTCCGCTGAGCTATACGAGTTCTTTTTCAGAGGCAGCCTGGCCACACATGATAATAGCTCGTCGAATTGGCTTACATCATCATCATCATCACGTGTTGGAATATATAGGAGCAGCCAAATAATCTAAACGCGTGTTTATTATTGTGGAAAGAGGTGAGGGGGGGGGGGGGACCTCGGAGGAACCCAGAGAGAAAAATCTTCTCGACCAACGCTGGGAGAGAGAAATCACGCGAATTCTAAATATACAACAGCAGGCATCGTCAGGGGTGATGATTGAACCCACGGATTGCTGCATAGCGGGTGAGGGAGATCACATCTCCGCGGCGCCCCTATTCTGTAACCAGGAGGTGATCACCGCCTCTCCCCGCGATTGTTTTTGAGTGAGAAGCCTCTCTTACGTCGACTGCCAAACGGCGGGGCCACCAAGAGGCGCGGCTCGTGGGGCCATTCGTTATTTATTGCCTAGCACCTCGCAGGGACCCACACCTCGGCGGGGTCAAGACTCGTAGGTCACGCTGTCACGCTGTTGGTTTTGGTGGCACGTGTCGCTACACACCAGCACTTACGGTGGCCAAGGCTGAAGAAAGTAAATAAATAAAATGCGTTATCAATTGTATATCCCCGTCGTGCAAGCGGCGTCGCGTCACCACGTGATGACGAATCCGTTCCGGAACTCTGGCAGAGCAGTGCTGCCCTTCGTAGGTAGAGAACGACCCACGGAGGTGGATGTTACTGAGCTACCTCTGATATCTCTTCAAGTGACCTCTTGTGCACCCTTTAGGGGACAGCACTTTGCCAAGCGTGAATGTCGTTTGTAAGTAATGTTCAATGCATGACGGTTCAACTGATTTTTAACATTCTCGGCGTTAGGATTTGCAAAAAAAAATTCACGCAGAACAAAATGTCACGTGACATTTGTGTGCGTGCGGTCAAGGGTTACCGAGTTGAAGCCATAATCAACTCATGGCACTCCAGAATCCCGGTTTAATCACAGGTGGCTGAAACCCAGATTTGAACCCAATTTTATTTCAGGAAAGTTACAACTTTAGAAAGACTTTAAATTCAAAATATGTAATGCCATTGTCATGATTGCGGTTACAAATTACATATTTAAAACCCAGACGTGAGTTCATCTCACTCGTGTCACCTACGTAGTTGTTATATCTGATTGCTTACTTGATTGCCATTGTACATAGTTATGTTTTTTTATTCGTAAGTATTTGTTGTAAATATGTAGAACTTCTTTCGCACCGTACGTAGCCAGCCTCGCAGCCCCTGAAAAACCATCCCTTCCCATGTAGCGTGCTCGCTACTGTCGCATCAGCCGTCATACGCAGTCCCCTTGTAAACCCTCCTTTCCCAGCTTGATTGCCGCTGTGGCCGAGTCACCATGGAATTCTAAAACAGAGCGCCCTTGGCTCAAGGGGCCTTTCTTGAGAGAAACAGACTGAGGGATTGCTTTCAGCGGTGCCGAATCTCAGCGCCTCCGAGCCACCACCCGACACTACCTAATGGCCACGCATTTTCAAAGCTATTCATTCGTGCTACATTTATTGAGCGCACAAAGTAAAACAAAACCAAAAAACACTGCACGCACACACACACACGCACAACGAAATTAGCCCGACGAATGTTATTGTTTTGGTTTGGGGCGCCAAACTGCCATCGTTTTACGCGCGGTCCTGGAAACACAAAGAAGACAAACATGTATTTCGCTATCTTTATAAATGTATATACATTTTTTCGGGTGGATTCGGTCGCTCCGAAGACACTGCGCTCCCCGCAAGGCGCTCACCGCGTGTTTGCTCCCCGTTGCCTACAATCACCGTTATTTGAGAAGCGCATTGCTTCGTTTGTGCCCGCAGATTGGAGCTTTTGTGCATGTCTGTGAAATTTTCGTCTGCGGCCCCCGTGTGGAGTCGGTAGAGGGTGGTGGTGGGGAGGTGTGGTGTGGGGAGGTGGTGGAGAAGGTGGAGGGTGGTGGTGGATTGTAGTAGTGGTGGAGGAGGGTGGTGGTGGTGTAGGGAGGTGGTGGAGAAGGTGGAGGGAGGTAGTGGTGGATTGTAGTAGTGGTGGAGGGAGGTGGTCGTGGTGGTGGACTTGGACGAGGGTGGTGGTGGAGGAGGGTGGCGGTGTAGGGAGGTGGTGGAGAAGGTGGAGGGAGGTGGTATTGGATTGTAGTAGTGGTGGAGGGAGGTGGTCGTGGTGGTGGTGGATGTGGACGAGGGTGGTGGTGGAGGAGGGTGGTGGCGGTGTAGGGAGTGGTGGAGAAGGTGGAGGGAGGTGGTGGTGGATTGTAGTAGTGGTGGAGGGAGGTGGTCGTGGTGGTGGACGTGGACGAGGGTGGTGGTGGAGGGGTGGTGGCGGTGTAGGGAGGTGGTGGAGAAGGTGGAGGGAGGAGGTGGTGGATTGTAGTAGTGGTGGAGGGAGGTGGTCTTGGTGGTGGTGGTGGTGGAGGAGGGTCGTGATGGAGGAGGGTGGTGATGGTGGGCACGGTATGTCGATGAATCAGGGATGTAATTTAGATAGAAATGATCGGTCCA